GATCAGTTAAGGTGAGCCATTATCAGCAGGAGAGAAAAAGAACTGTTGTACTGATAATGAAAATGGCCCATTTCCAGCAATTGACAAGGAGATGTGAGGAACTGTGTGTGTGAGGGGAGGGAGGGGGGGAATAAGCATGGGGAAATAGATTGTAAGTGATTACAAGTGATGATGCATCAAAGTCAGGATTGGTTACAAAAGAAATAAGAGTAAAACGCCCGCTAATACCTAATTTCACAAGCTAAGTGAACTGAAAAGCAAAAGGTTTTGTCTTGCCATACATTTACAGCAGTCTGTACTGGCTGAAAACTGCTCTCCCACTTCAATGATGCTTTCCTTGTCTTTTGAGCATTGCAGCTGCCGTGAGCAGTGATGGGGGAGAGAGGTGATTTGAGGCCACTGTCTCTCATTCTTACACCACTCTCCCCTCTGAGGATTACCCCCACCTGGGTGCAGGTGACACGTAGTGTCTTGTGGATGTGAGCATTGAGCAGTCCCTGTGATGAAATGTAGATTTCTCTTTCACATCTTCCCATTGCTGGAGAATGGTCGCTTAACTAAGTGATAACCCAGGTGACTGTGTTGATACGTGTCTGGGTGTGCTAGTGTCTCTGAAGAACTGGTTTAGGTCTGCCTGTCTAACTTTGGAACATGTTACAGCAATGTTATACAGCAGAAACTTGTAACTTTACATACACGGTTGATGCACACATTTTACCAGGATGATAATGTTCAGCAGATTACAACGTTTCAAATGATACCTCACCAGGCAGACTTTGTACATTTATCCTAGTCTTGTAAAAGTGGTGAACATCCGTCACACCCCATTAGCACTGAAGTCGGGCCTGTGTCTATGTCCCCTTCTGGACAGAGCTAATCCCTGACCTGTCCCCAGCCATGAGCTCAGTTTTATAAATGGCCTGATGCTGAAAGCTCCCTTCTCTCAATCAGTCTTATCGCTCCTCCCACCTCCATTCCAGGATAAACGGCCACAGGGCAAGACAACTAGCAGTAGCACAGACCTGCTTTCAACTGAAGCTGTCTACACTGGCAAGTGAATGACAAAACAGAGGTTAAAAAAAACCTCACACCCGAAAGTCAAAAGTTTTGCCGACGACAAGCGCCGGTGCGAACACACTAACACTGCTTGTGGGGGGTGGAAGTTTTTTGTCAGCACAAACAGCCGCTACGCTGTGCACCTTTTAGCGGCATGGCTGTAGCGACAGCTGTGTCGCTGAAAACTGCATTGTGTAGACATAGCCTGAGATGTGTCCTGTGCATAAATCATGCCTGTGGCCTTTTGGTGTCAGAGCTGTTGCAAGGGGAGAGAGGTTTGTGGCATGGCAGAGGCCTTCTGCCTTCAATCCCTGCTGCTCGGCGGCTCCCTGGGGTGATCAGGGGGCTTCACGAAAGCCAGTCTTGCATGATTTTCCAAAGCCTCCCTTTGGCTCTTCTGAGAAGAAAGCTCACAGAACTCCCTGCCTCTTCCCATTAGCTATCACCATCCCACGTGGGCATGAAACAGCGAGCAACTCCAGGAGGCTGAGTGTCCATGGCTGGGATCTGACCGACGTGAGTGCAACAGGCTGGCTCGGCCCTACCTTTTCCTCATGGCTTCTTTTCTCTTATAGGCTGTCAAGCGATTCCTGAAGCTGGAGTGTAAATGCCATGGAGTCAGCGGCTCCTGCACCCTAAGGACTTGTTGGTTGGCAATGTCAGATTTTCGGAAAACTGGGGATTACCTTAGGAAGAAATACAATGGGGCCATCCAGGTGACAATGAACCAGGATGGCACCGGCTTCACCGTGGCCAACAAGAACTTCAGGAAACCCACCAAAACAGACCTGGTGTACTTTGAGAACTCTCCTGATTACTGTGTGATGGACAAGTCGGCAGGTAAGAACCTGCCCCAACAGCTGTCTGCATGGCCGGTGCGGCGGGCAATCTAGCAAAACATCTCCCACCTCCTTGCCAGGCCTGCAGCCTCCCACTAACCCACAGGAGGACTCCCACAACCCATATTAAAGAGCAACCCACCCCTTGGACTCAGCCCAATTGTCGAATTTAGGCAGCGCAGGCCTATCTCACCTGGTTACCACTTAGAGAGACCAGGTGGGTGAGGTGTTGTCTTTTATTGGACCAACTTCTGTTCTGAGACAAACTTTTGAGCCCCAGAGAGCTCTTCTTTAGCTCAGAACTGTCTCCCCAGCAGAAGTTGGTCCAATAAAAGATATGACCTCCCCCACCTTGTCTCTCTAATATCCTGGGACTGACACGCCTACAACCACACTGCAGTTACTGCTTGGCATTTAGCTTGCACGTGTAGAGGGCTGCCTAGCAGAGAGTGAGGTTTGAACGCCTGCGGCTGGGGCCGGGGCTGCACCAGCAAGGCAGAATGTAGGGTAGCCTCCAGCATACGCTGTGCGTTCTCTGCTGTTCCATTGCTTTGTGGGACATGTCCAGGTTTCAGAGCCATATTTATTCCCTTCTCTCCGCCCTCAAAAGGCCCCACAAAACAGCCCCTGAGGGGGTTTACTGTGGAATTTCTCTTGACAAGAAACAAATTAAAATAAAAAGCCCAACAGCATCTTCCCAACCAGCAAAGTCCGTGATTGTGAAAGTGCAACTTGCAGACCGCTACCACTTGGGCAGTCTGAGCAGCAAGGGATTATGGGAGCTGCAGTAGGCAGCAGGAAGGACATGAAGGGGGCTGGTTCTGTGCTGCATGCCTGGGAAATCAGAGGTGACTCAGGCAAGGGGGCAGGGGAGGCTCAGTCGGATGTGAATCCTGTAGCCATCCAAGCGCACAAACGTCCAGGTGTGAAAAAATGGTGAGTGGCAGTTGTCAGGCTGCTGCTGGGAAGGAGTCAGAAGAACCCCCCGCCGGCAGCCCAGCTCTGGGAACACCCCAGCCATTTGCAAGTCTGCTTGTTGCTGTGCGTCACTCAGCACCGAGCGAGGGGCTGGTGGCTACTTCTCCTCTGGGGCTTTCAGCCGAATATACTAATCAGCTCGGAGTCCCAACAGCCAGAGGAGGAGCCAACCCACTGGAGTTCGCCTTACTGGCCTCAGGAAACTCCTGTCAAACGTCCCAGTGCCTTTCCCCAAGTTCTGCCACCCTCCCACCACCAGGGCCCTTCACAGCACAGGGCCCAGCTCTAAGCAGCGTGGGTTTGATCTGGTTACACTCTGACCTCATATGCTCAAACGGTAGGAAAGAAGGTGCATGAAGGGCCCAGGAATATCAGGGAATCATCCCCCAGTATTACCAGGCAGCCGCTGCCGCCCACACCTGCCCTCCAAGTTATCAGCATGGTCCCTGGGCAGCAGCCAGCACTAGAAGTGAGCAAGGGGCAGAAATTCTGCTGGGATAGAGATTTGCATTGCACCGGTTTCTCCAGAATTTCACCTGCCCCAGTTCTGGGTGTATGTGATTGGAGACTCCTCTCTAAGCCCTAGGCCTTTCTTGGACACACTGCTCCACAGGGCCGGCTCCAGGCACCAGCTTGTCAAGCAGGTGCTTGGGGCAGCCACTCCGGAGAGGGGCGGCACGTCCAGCTATTCGGCGGCAATTCGGCGGACGGTCCCTCACTCTGGCTCGGAGCGAAGGACCTCCCGCCGAATTGCCGCCGCAGATCACGATCGCGGCTTTTTTTTTTTTTTTTTGGTCTGCTTGGGGTGGCCAAAACCCTGGAGCCGGCCCTGCTGCTCCAGCACGCAGCCATGCAGGGTGTGCACGAGCTGTTACTGCAGGCTTTTGAGTCACTGTAGCTACACTGCATGGGCTTGGGGTGACGTGCAGAGAAGTCCAAGTTGCTGTTATTCAGCTTTTGCAGAGAAAGCCCCGGTCTTCTGCGTGACGGTTCTGGCCACCAGGTCAAACAGCCCTGCATTGCCATCGGTTTCCCTGGCAACAGGCACAGCTCCCTGGACCCAGCAGTGCAGCCGCGGTACCCAGGCAATCTGTGAGGGAGGAAAATAGCAATGAACAAACGGTTTCTACACTTAAACAAGCCACTCGCCCCACATTTATTCTATGCATCAGCAGCACAGAGGTATTTCTACCTTCTAGAAGTCCCACCCGTCCCCTTCCACCTCAGCCACCCCATCATACACATACGCAGACCCATGGCTGGTCTCTGCCCCAGGTGGAGAGAGCCTAGCCGTACCTACCACCGTGTTGCAATCAAGCCAGCAGAGGGCGCGTACGCCAGCGGCAAACTGGATGAACTGACAGGGCAGAAGTAGCTCATGACCAGTTCGTTGCTGCCTTTGGCACCAGGCAACCCCATGGAGGAGCACGGTGGTTTCAGTAAATACCATGCACCCTCCTCCTGATCAAAGATGTGCTCCAAACAATCAACCAAACACACAATAAACCAACCACAAACTTTGTCACCCTTGTGCAGGGGCGGCTCTATGTATTTTGCCGCCCCAAGCACGGCAGGCAGGCTGCCTTCAGCAGCATGCCTGCGGGAGGTCCATCGATCCTGCAGCTTTGGTATCCCCGCCGCCGAATTACCACCGAAGCCGCGGGACCGGCGGGCCTCCCGCAGGCATGCCACTGAAGGCTCCCTGACTTCCACCCCCCCACGGCTTGCCGCCCCAGGCACGTGCTTGGGGCGTTGGTGCCTGGAGCCGCCCCTGCCCTTGTGTAACCTTCAGAGCCAGCCAGGGCCACTTCAGACATGCCTGTACAGTTAAACTCACAAAGAGGAACAAAAGAATCATCAAGCCAGGCCCAGGGCATATTCAGACCTGACTTACTCACTCACTCACTCGCTCTCACACACACACACACACTTCAGACCGGTTAATATTAAAAAATTTAAATTGTCAGTAGGGAAAAAACTTAAATTTTGTTGAACAATTTTTTTCACCATTTGGGGGTTTTTGAGCAGTTGGTCTGAATTTTTAATTTGTGAAAAAAATTCTAAAAAACAGCAAAAGAATTCAAAAGCGTTTCACAACTACTCGTTTTCCAACTAGTTCTAATAAGCACTAACAACATAGCAAATTAAAACCAAATAGCCACATGGTTTATTAATCACGCAACTGGAATTCCATTGCGATTGCAGCCATGCACTGCAGGGCCCTGCGGCTGGACTTGGCGGGTGCATCTACACTGCAGCTGGGAGCGAGACTCCCGGCCCCGGATGACAGACACACACAAGCACTCGAGTTAGCTTGCTAAAAATAGCAGTGTGGACATTACGGCCCAGCCCGGAGCTCAGGCTCTCCAGCCCGCCCTCATCCCTAGGTGTCAGAGTCCCAGCTCCAGGCCGAGCCGCGGCTGTCTACACAGCTGTCTTTACAGTGCTAGCCCAAGTCTGTGGAGTTGGGGCAGGAGGCTCGCTGCCACAGGCTCCAAAATGCTGTGCAGACAATCTGCCAAGCTGGGCTGCAAGGCTCACCCCCAGCTACAGCGTAGACATGCCCTGACGTCCTGGCCAGGCCGTGAACTGTGAAGTCAGTCAGAAAACAGACTCAAATGAGTCGAATTTTCAGTCTTGCTTTTTTGGGAGGGTTTGTTGAAAATGTGTCCCAAAAACTGAGTACTAAACCCACACACGGCACTAGTGTAACACCAACAGACCCCAGTTGTTGTCAGGCAGGACTGAACCTGGGACCTCTGGAGCTTAGTGCATAAGCTAAAAGCCAATTGGCTGTTACTGTACAGCAGTCTCATTTTATCTCTGTCTTGGTGCCTCTGGATGGGACAGAACACCCCACCCAGGTGTGTGGGTTACACGATCACCTTCCATCAGAGCCTCACAAAGCACTTTGCACTGTACAAACAGTAACCTGCATAGCAGGAAGTGACGAGAGCTGGTCAGGAAAGAATTCCCTCTTCTCCCCCAGAGGGAGAGGGTTTTGATAAATAAATGAAAACCCCAATTCTAACACATTTTCACTTTAACACCCAAAAGTTTGTTTTTTGCCCCCCATGAAAACATGAACATTTGTCAAAAATAAGTTTTAAATGAAAAACTAACCATTCTTTTTGACAAAATTTCAACCCCCTCTAGTAAGTATTACCCTGTGTTACTGAAGGGGGAATTGAAGCAGGGAAGTGAAGTAACTTCACCCAGAACTTGCTCAAGGTCTCGCAGTGAATCAGAGGACAGAACTGGAAACCCAGGAGTCATCTCAGTTCTTCGCTCTTCCCACTAGACCATGCTGCATCCACCACTAGAATCATAGACTTTAAGGTCAGAAGGGACCATCACGATCATCTAGTCTGACCTCCTGCACATTGCAGGCCACAGAACCTCGCCCACTCCTGAAATAGCCCCTAACCTCTGGCTGAGTTACTGAAGTCCTCAAATCATGGATTAAAGATTTCAAGTTACAGAGAATTCACCATTTACACTAGTTTAAATCTGCAAGTTTAAACCAGTCCTATCTAAACTCTGTCTCCATTTCAGCTGCTGGGAGTCAGCCTGTCTGACTGACCCTTACGCTGGTGTTAATCCAGAGTAACCCCATTCATTTGCACCAGGGCACAGCTGAGCAGAATCTTCCAAAGTGAGCTTCAGTCACTCAAAGTCTCCCTTACCTACCTGAACCATTGCATAGGGTTACCATATTTTAATTTTTAAAAAGGAGGACACTCCATGGGGCCCCGGCCCCGCCCCAACTCTGCCCCTTCCCTGCCCCAACTCCGCCCCCTCCCCTGAACGCTCCGCCCCCTGCTCCCCCCCCCCTCCCCTGCTTCCCGCGAATCAAATGTTCGCGGGAAGCCTGAAACAGGGAGGCAGCAGGTAAGCTGGGGCGGGATGCGGCGCGGCACGGCTCAGTCCGGCCCCCCTGGCCGAGTGGCTCCCTTCGGCGGCCGGCCGGCCCAGGCCAAGAGGCTCTGGCCCCGGCGTCTCCTGCCCGGCTGGGGCCCCGGCCCCCGGCCAAGTGCCCGCACCCCTGGCCGAGCACCGCGCCGGCCCCCGGCCAAGTGCCCCCGCTCCCGGCCCCCGGCCC